AAAAAAAAAGAAACAAAAAAACAAAAACAAACAAAAAACCCTCAAGGCTGGACACGGTGGCTCATACCTATAATCCTAGCACTTTGGGAGGCCGGTGGATCACCTGAGGTCAGGAGTTCAAGACCAGCCTGGTCAACCTGATGAAACCCCATGTCTACTAAAAATATAAAAATTAGCTGGGCGTGGTGATGTGTACCTGTAATCCCAGCTACTAGGGAGGCTGAGGCAGGAGAATCACTTGAACCTGGGAGGAGGAGGTTGCAGTGAGCCGAGATTACACCACTGCACTCCAGCCTAAGTGACAGAGGAAGACTCCATTTCAAAACAAAAAACAAAACAAAACAAAAACTCAAGAAAAAGAAATATAAAGATTTCATTTAGAATGTGAAGTAAAAGCCAGGCACAGTGGCTCACACCTGTAATCCCAGCACTTTGGGAGGCTGGGGCGGGCAGATCACTTGGGACCCGGAGTTCAAGACCAGCCTACCCAACATGGTGATGCCCCGTCTCTACTAAAACTACAAAAATTAGCCAGGCATGGTGGCAGGTGCCTGTAATCCCAACTACTTGAAAGCCTGAGACAGGAGAATCACTTGAACTTGAACCCAGGAGGTGGAGGTTGCAGTGAGCTCAGATTGCACCACTACACTCCAGCCTGGGCAAGACAGCAAGACTCTGTCTCAAAAAAAAAAAAGCGGGGGGAAAGTGGGGCAAATATCACAGGAATATACCAGTGTTAAAAGTGTTTTCCTCTGAGAACTTTTGTTGGAACTAGAAAGCTGATTTTTTGGTTACTATTTATTTTTTAAAGATATTAATATTGATGTTATATATTAATGGGGTATATGTGATATTTTGTTACATGTATAGAATGTGTAATGATCATGTCAGGGTGTTTTAATACATTCATTTTGAATATTTATCATTTCTATGTGTTGAGAAAAATTCAAGTCCTCTCTTCTAGCTACTCTGTACCAATACAATACATTATTGTTATCTATAGTCAGTCTACTCTGCTGACTATCCAATTCTCTGTTGGTATAAATAAGGTCCAACAATAGAACTTATATCTTTCATCTAACTGTATTTTTGAACTTGTTAACCTACCTCTTCATCCCTCCTCCCAGCCCTACACCCTTCCTGGCCTCTAGTAACTATCATTCTACTCTCTGCCTTTATGAGATCAATTTTAGGAAAGTTGATTTTAAAGTTCATTTAAGCTTTTTTTTCCCCCTTCCTAATGAAGCCAAGAAACATATTCTGCAGCCAAAAGAAAAGAGGCCAAAGAATATTTTGGAAAAGAATAAACATGAACAAGTTCCAAAAAATATGTAAAAGTATCATGAAACTACAGCTATTAAAAAACATGAAGAACACATGAAGAGGCAAAAATCATAGAAAGAGACTCCTAGCCACAGGATAATCTACTTTAAGAAAAAGTTAGCATTGCAAACCAGTAGGGAAAAGGCAGATTATACAATAAATGGTTGTGGACCAAGTAATAAGCCATCAAAGGAGGGGAAGAAGAAAACTAGATCCCTTCCTTAGTCCCTGCTCTTAAAATCTAGATGCATCAACTTAAAGATTACAAATGAAACTGTAAAAACACTAGAAGACATGGAAGAATTGTTCTATAATCTTGGAGTAGGAAAGCCCTCTCTAAGAAACTCATAAAACCCTTAAGTCTTAAAGGAAGAGACTTATCATTTTGGCTACTTAACAATGACACTTTCTGTACAATGAAATAATCATTGTATTGATGTCAAAAGACAAACCAGGAAAGATTCTTGTCACATATGACAAATACAACACAATTTTACAGTTGTGTAAGAATCAACTGAAAATCAATAAGGAAAACATTGAACACACAACTGAAAAATGGGTGAGGGCTTCAAATTAGCAGTTCACAGAATAAGAACTTTCAATGTATTATAAACATGTATATTCAAACTCACAATTTAAAATGCATTTCAAATACCTGCAATCACTCAGGCATCTGTCCCTAACATTCTATTGACAGTGATCTAGCAAAAGTTACCAGTGATTCAGATGCCAAATCTCAGAATAAATGGTCTAAAATAAACACATAATCATCTTGAAATGAGGCAGAAAACATTTAGAAAACTGGCAAAAATATTAATGAAGTTTTAAATATTAAGAAATGTTTTTAAAAGCACATTACAAAGCTGCATATATGGTATACACTTCCAACTGTGACATACGTACATGCATATAATAGACAACATAATATAAATACACAGAAGAAAAACAGAAAGTCCAGCCATCAAAATATTAAGGGTGGTTGTTAACAATGGGTCAAGTGATTTTAATTCCTTCTATAAGGTTTTCCATATTTGCCAAATTCTCTATAATTATACTTTAAAAGTCAGACACAGTTATAAGTATCTACCTAAAGTCTCCTCATCCAGACTTTTATACTCACCAGGAATAATAAAAATAAGCAGCTTAGGCCTTTTGACACTTTGATCACAAAAGAGGTCAGTCCAGGGCCCACATTTTAGAACCTGGGTTTCGGCTCCACCACACAAAATGAATTCCTCATGCACAGGAATTTCTTCCTTGAGTTCGGAGTCCATTTCTAAATAAAAGGAGAAAAGTAGTATAAAGAGTCAGTAAAATGTGAAACCTTGAGCCAAGGACAAAATTCAAGAATAAAAAAAGGGCAAATTTCAATATACCTAGAAGGAAATGCCACAAAGACATCTGGGAAACTGTAAGGCTATTCAGTGATGTTGGATTCTAAGATTGCAGGACAAATTTTAAAAAACCACAAGAGTACTTAGAAAGGAGGAGACATATCCTTGGCAATATAAAAGACTATAGAGGGGTTTGAATCAAAACCATAACTTCCACTTTCCCTCTGCTGCAATTCTCTTTTAGCTCTGTGCATTACCACGAGACAAGTCCTCCTACCTTCACCTGGTATAAAGTGCAGAGGTTCTGACTTGTCCTTGCATTCTGTCCATAGAATAATAAGGGGGATGATGAACTCCTTATGGTCTCTTATTTCCCACTATTACTTTTGTCCCAAATTCTCTCTCTCTCTCTCTCTATCTATCTATCTAATTTTTTTTTTTTTTTTTTTTTTTTTTTTTTTTTTTTTTTTTTTTTTTTTTTTGAGATGCAGTCTCACTGTCGCCCAGGCTGGAGTTCAGTGGCGTGATCTCAGCTCACTGCAAACTCCACCTCCCCGGTTCAAGCAATTCTCCTGCCTTGGTCTCCCAAGTAGCTGGGACTATAGACATGCACCACCACACTCGGGCTAATTTTCGTATTTTTAGTAGAGACGGGGTTTCCCCATGTTGGCTAGGCGGCTCTCCAACTCCTGACCTAAGGTGATCTACCTGCCTCGGCCTCCCAAAGTGCTGAGATTATAGGCATGAGCCACCAAGCCTGGCTCTGATAAGCATATTTTATGTAATAAAGCGCTACATTAAATTATGAAATGGATAGCTAGAAAAAAACCCAGGATGTACTATCATGAACCATTTCCTGAATATCAGTTATGTGTAAAAATGTAGGCCTGAATTATTTCTATCACTCCTCCACCTCTGCCTCTGTCAATAGATGACAATCATCTATTGACAGCACCAATCTCAAACCTTCATTGGTCTATTTTTCTCTTCCCCTCTCTTCCTCCCACTCAAAGCACTCCAGAGTTAAGATACAAAGGGCCCTTCTAGCTTTTTCTCCTCTTACACTTTACACCAGACTTGTACTTTTTGTTTTTTGAGACAGAGTCTCGCTTTGTCACCCATGCTGGAGTGCAGTGGTGCTATCTCGGCTCCTGCAACCTCTGCCTTCCATGTTCAAGGGATTCTCCTGCCTCAGCCTCCTGAGTAGTTAGAGTTGCAGGCGCCTGCCATGCTTGGCCATTTTTTTGTATTTTTTAGTAGAGACGGGGTTTCACCATCTTGGCCAGGCTGGTTTTGAACTCCTGACCTTGTGATCCACCCGCCTTGGCCTCCCAAAGTGACCAACCTTGTACTTTAGTCTTCTTGTCCTTGAATTTCCCTAGTGTCCCTATGCTTTTCTGCTTCTGTAACTTTGCTCATATTTAATTCTCCAACCATATTTAATTCTATAACTGCACTTTTTTGTGCAGTTATCAGTTTGTTGCCTTTCCACTCCAAATTCATCCTTCATTATCTTAGCTGGAAAAGTGGATCTGGGCCTTTAAAATATTTTTCCTTTGCTAGTTGACAAGATGCTAAGCTCTGTCAATAGAGTGCACTGGAGAGGCTCTGCAGAAGGAAGGAGTTTTCTCAGCAGGTTTCTGGAGAGCTTATATTTTACCCTCTCTACTGTTCCACTGCTGTAAGATTTCTCTATTGCAGTGGTTCACAACTAAAGACAATTTGCCCTTAGAGGACATGTGGCAATATCTGGAGCTATTTTCCATTGTCACAACTTGGGGAACTACTGGGATACAGTGAATAGAGGCCAAGGATGCGAGATAAATATCATACCACACACAGGACAGCTTCCCACAACAAATAATTATCCAGCCCTGAAGGTCAATAATGCCAAGGCTGTAAAACAACACTATACTAGGTGTCTACAGGGGAAAGCATTCTCCAGCATCTAGCTAGCTGCTGTGTGCTTTTTCTCCAGCCCTCTACTCAGGTAGCAGCAGCACTATAGCCAGGCGCCCCAGACCAGGTGGCTACTCCCTATCCCCTCTCCTTAGCCACATGCACTGGCTTAGCCAGCCAGTCCCCTGACCTTTGTTCCACACAGCAGCTTGGTATATTGCCCTGCCCCAAGCTGTACACAACAGTCCTCTAGACTGCTACACAGGGAGGCCTCTCTGACTTGCAACTCCAGTAGTACCTAAAGTGGTGCTCCAACTCCCTCTACTCACTGACCAACCTCAACTCACTTGCACCCCAAGGACTGTTACTGTGGCCCTCCTAACAGACACCTGTGCTCCATGCCTCAGCCCTGCAGCGCGCCCTGATTCCCTCTGCATGCCCTCCTACCAGACTTGGCTTACCTGCTGACATTGTGATTGTGCACCACCTTTAACTCAGGCAACCCAGCAAATTTCTCTCCCATCCAATGGGCCATAACCATATTTTCAATGAGATCTGAACCCTCATTTCAATTCTGTCCTTCGTTGGGTACTTTTCTTCAGCCCTAGGGTACCTTTTAGAGTTCTCTTTATAGAGTGACTTCATGGTTTTTCTCCTATCAAACACTAATAATTCTTTAGGTTAAACTAACAATTTTAGTTACTATAATGGCTTTTGTCTCCTGGTTTGATCCAGACTTATAAATCTCTCGTGTGTCTGCAAATTTTTCTTTATAAATTTTCCCACATTATACACAGCTCAAATTCTACTTTTTACATGAAGCCTTCCTTGAGCACCCCAGGTATATAAAAGAAATCACTTCTTCCTCTAAACTTACAGCATCTGTCTTTATTATAAGGTAGCAGTGGTAAAGGCACACAGCTAAGCTTCACCTGGTAAAATCTGTCATGTCATGTCATGCCACACTTTCCCACAGCACCACAGTCAAGCAATTGATGCAAGGGCTACGTGTCCCTCCCCAGATTTGCCTTATGAACATCATAAGGCAAATGCAATGCTGGCTAGGATACAGTGAAATGGAAAATTCCACACATTGATGGTAATAATGAAAATGGCTTTGTGAAGCAATCTGGCAGCATGGATCAATACTCATAAAAGGTATAAACTTTGATTCAGCCACTCAATTCTAAAAAAACCTAAAGTATTTTCTTTTAAGACTGATGCATGGAATGCTAATTCTAACAGTGACAAGCCGAAAAACCTAAATTAATTGATGAATGGTTAATTATGATAAACCATTATCATATACTAAAAAATTACATATATGACTCAATATTAGGGACTAATTAAATAAATTGTAACTCAATATAATGATCAAATATTATGTTCCATCAAACTGCTCTGCTAAGTTGGTTATAATTTATGCATTTCTCTTCTAACATTTCTAAAATTTCACTTCTCTAGCCTGATGTTATATTGCCTCTTCCATTCTTTGTTTATTCCTTTATTGTTTATTCTCTCAATTTAGCGACTTTAGGAAGAAGAAATAAACATATTTATTCTAATCTCTATGTTTAGCCAAAAATCCAAAACTGATTTTCTTAAGAATACTTAGAAAAATGAAAAATCCTCACTTAGAAAGTGGAGACCCCTGTCCATTAAAAATTTATGGACTAAATAAAGTATCACTTCATCTTTTCTTATGGATTGATTTTTTACTTCACTAATAAATGTCACTGCGGCCCAATCTCCAAAACTATCACAAACTACATTTTTAGTATTTATTTACTATATAAATAAATACATACTCACATAAGTTCTTATCTTTATAATGTGTTAGAAACAATATTAGATTTAGCTATAAATACAGTATTAAATTAGAGCACTGACTGAGAAGACATTGGCCAAACTGAATACTTTCACCACAAGAGAATTTAAAGTTATTCACTATAAAGTTGTGAACTATATTCAAATTATAAATATCAATACTTAACTTCAAGGAAATGACATCTTGAGAGTTTGATTAGCCACAAAATCAATGAGAACTCAAGTGGATATGAAAATCAAGCTCAGTCTATAAAAATTGGAAAGCAAAAAAGTACAACTCTAACACCTCAAATAAAATACAACTAAGAAATATGGAATTAACATATGTATTTATAAAGCATCTTTTATTTTGTTTCACTTTCATATTTCTGAATCTCACACATCCAAATAAAAGCAGCAAAGCAAAATCCGAGGCACAAGAATTCAAACTCTTCCTTACCTATGAATCCAAGGTAGTTCAGTTCCGCAATAAGTGTCAGATTACCAAAGGACAGTATATGATAATTATATATTGTTAAAGGATAATGGCACGCCTTCAGCCTCAGCCTATAAGCAATCTTTAATAAAATAAATTTTGGAAAGCAGCAAGACTTGTGCTGGATAAAAACCAAGTGTGGACACAATTTGTGCAATTTAGGCAAGCCTATTTTCCCAAATATACGTTCTAACTTGCTTAACGGGCTTCTAATTTTATTTAGTAAGAGATTTTCTTTCCAATTAAATCTCACACAAACCTAGATAATTTGACTACTATAAATTTCAGAGGTTCAAATTTATAATATTTATTTTAGTTTTTATAAATACATAAAGTCATGGGTTGATTTATTTATATGTTTAAATATATACTTAATATACATTAAGTGATTCTATGTTTATAAATATTTTTAATATTTATTATAAAATTAGCTATTGAGAACAGCAAGACTACACTAATAAATATTTGAAAGTGAAGTTATAAATAATACATCTTAATCGGCTTCAGCCTCCAAATAATTGGTATATAACACAGATGAGTCTGAAAGTTATTTTAAATAAGAGTTTTTAATTTTTAATTTAAAATGTACATTAGAATTAAGTTTGAATCTGCTTTAGCAATGACAGATTAAATTGCTTCCAAATAATCGTCCATTGAGAACAATTAGAAAAGCCAGGAAAACTTTTAAAAAATTTGTTTAAAAATATCAGTAACCACTGAAAGAATCAAGACTGTGTAACA